AAATGGCCTTTCCAGACACATTAATTCCCTTTTTTGAGAGGGCCTGCAGGACAAGAGCACTCTAGAAGAAACTTCTATTTACGAGTTCTAATGGCACTACACACAATGATTTCTTTCATGAGACGTCTCAACCACTTCTAATGTATTCTTACATTTTCAAATAGGAAGCAAATGTAGGGGAAAATGCTGCAAAGCAGCTCTCCTTGTGATGGAGTCATTTTGTATTCCATTAGACTGTGCTGCTCAGCTGAGCTTTTAAGGGGCAAGATAAACAGATGAGGAAAGGCTTCTTATTAATTAAAAGCATGAACTGCTAATTGTAAGGGTGATCAAATATTGGTTCACTTTTTACCAGGTGTGAGGACATTTGCTAAAGATGGCAGGAGTGCCCAGCAAAGCAGAGTCTGCATGCAAAGCTCCTCTCAGATCAGGTCTGTGCAGGCTGACAAGACAAAGGTTCATGAGAAAAACAGTCCAACAAGTGCCAAGGGGCCATGGTATTGAACCTGGAAACCAAACCTGTTTGTTGCTTGAGTAGTGAAACCAGGCCCTTTGTAAGCACTTTGCTTATTTATTGTAAGTGCTGCAGCTCAGCTAATGATTTTTGGTTTAGTTGGAGTTCAGATTCTCACTTTCATCAGCATTATCTTGCCAAACACATTCCCAAGCTTACTTTAATTTAGGATTTGACACCAGCGATTGCCTTTTTTTTCCCCTCAAAGGATGAACTAGTCCACCATAAAATGGAATATTAGGCAATTTATTGTGCTAATGACTTGCAGAAAAAAGCCAAATTACACTGACGGTGGATTATATTGAACAATAAAACCCTCCCTCATCCCAACTCTCAGTGAGCACATAACTGAGCTGTAGTTAGCTGGGAATTCCTGGGAACAGCATCTACACTGCAGCCAGCCATGCTTCAGCAGGAGCCACATTCCCAGTGGAACAACACCCTCACACCTGGAATTGTGTCTTGTTACCCCCCAGTTTCAGCTCAGCTAAAAAGGCTGCTGTTATCATGGCATTTCCTACCTGATTACCTCACAATCTATCCTCTGATTCCAAGCAAGCTGAAAGAGAAGTTGAGATTCAAGAGCATTCAGGTTTGCATCAGTTTTTTGCAAAGAGAGAGAGTCAAGTAGAAGGAGAAGCTGTCATCAGTGCTCATCAGTGAGAGAGGAGCTCAGCCAGGAAACAGGAATCTGCGGGAAGCAGCTCTGCACAGCTCCCAGAACTGGCACTCAGTAACTTCAACAAAGGCAAGACTGAACAAAAGATTCAGATGAGACTATCAAAAATATTCCTTTGAGTTGGATCAATAACAAGATTCAATCACACACTGGAAAAGCTGTTCTGTGACAAGGGCAGGAGACAAAGTAATCAGCCCTAAGGGAGGAAGAAAATAAAGGAATCAATGTAATTGGAGGAAAAAGAGAACGTGGCTGAAGAGTAACCCAGCCCCAAAATCTGAGCAGCCAGAATCAGAGGGAACAGCTCAAACAGAGAGACTCTGCCAGGTTCAACAGCACTTGGAAACCCAGCAGTGCCAGAAGGCTTCAGTGGCATGAGCTTGGACCCCCTCCTAATTATCAGATAATTAGTGGGATTTTTACCAATAAGAATGAAAGCACCTGCTCCACCTGGTCAGTGGAGATTTCCCCACACACATTTTCATGGATTTCTCCTCCAGCGACTGCAACTGTTACCTCAGACCTCAGAATTAAGAGCCCCAGCAAAAACATCATGGAACTTATTTTAAAGTGTTTAAATACAGCTCCCTTTGGGTTTATGTAATCTGCATTGCTGAAACCAAACATTCATTTATTTTATTTATATTTCTTTTCCTGTTTGAGAAAAAATCATGGGTCAAAGCCTGCCTCTTCCCCCAGCAGTCCTTGCACACACTCAGACCTTATCCCCATGACAGGGTAGGCAACACCACATCCCACAAAAGGCAGGAACAGTGGTCAGGAACTGGGTTAGTGACACAGGGTTGTGTCAGCAGTGACATTTCAGCACTGTTGTAACAACACTGAAAGATAGAGCAGTGTCTGAACAAGCCTGTTGTGAAAATGAGCATTTTCAGTGCGTTCTGTAGCAGAAAATATTGTATCTGCTATAAAAACAACAGCTTCTCTAAATGATTAAACTCTTGAGCTTCTTTCTAGCAATTAACAAGCTTTGAACATTGTTTACAGTGTTGGTTGTATGGCATCATTGCTTTTATCCTCCAGAGTAGCAACAAAGATTCCACATGAATTAAATCCCATTTTCTTTTCCCCTACATCACTGTTAAAGTATGGCATGTGAAAAAAATTCATTCTAATAATAATTACCTTGGACAACGTAAAGTTCAGCATTGGTTTGTAGGAAAAATGGCTGTTTATTTGCTGGTTAGCATTAGTAGAAAAGCTGAAAACATCCAGATGAGTGACTGCAGCACTGCAGTGAGTAGGATTTAGGGAAAGCTGTTCCAAAACAGTCTCTGAGTAAAAATAAGGCCTGGTCTGCATGGAGTGGGTTCATTTTCCAGCACAGCATGAGAGTTAAGAGGGATGACTTCATTAGAAGCATCCAAGGCCAGGCTGGATGGGATCCTGATCAACCTGGGCTAGGGGAGGTTGTGCCTGCCCATGGCAGTGGATGGAATCAGACAATCCTCTCCAACCTAAACCATTCCGTGATTCCATGGGGATTTCTTGGCTGCCTGAACACGAGCACAGCTCTTTTGGCACCAAACAGCAGCACTCACATGAAGAACCTATCAAGCTGTGCTCTTTGATCACAGGTGAGATGTTCATACCTGGAGGTGTTGCCACCCTGGACAATCTCATCCACTTTGGGGACACCCACAGTTGTATTTTCCAGTCTAGACGGGGCCTCTGTTTGACAAATCTCATTCTTGGCTTTATGGTAAAACAAGACAATTCCTGATGTCCCTAAATCCTATTCCATCCCTCCATTTCAATCCATGAATTAGTTACTTGTGAAACAATGAGTAATTTTATTTTTCATGGGTGAATGCTTATCACTCACATAGAAAAACAGACTGGAGCATATACTGCAAGGAACAAAGCCAAATGTTTCAAAAATTCAATCAAAACCTACAAAAAACACCAAGAAGGAGGTGTGACTGAGACAACAGGCAGAGATTCAGCTTCCTGCTCTCAATGCCTGATGGCACCAAGCGTGTCATTTATCATGCTGTGTCTGGGTCCCCATCTCCAAAATGAACACAACAGCCACCAAGGCACCTCAGGTCTATGTGGGGAGGTTATTTTGGAACCTGCTTCCTTTTCCATTGGTTTCCATGGAAAATGATCATCTTCCTCTGCTAACAGTGCTCATTTTGGTTAGACAAACAAGCTGAGAGAAAACCAAGAAAATGGAGATAACCGATTTTTTTTCCATGCACAAGAAGCAGAGGGTGTGGGGTATGGGGGAAAAGGCAGCAGCAAATCCAGCAGTGAGTCCAGGGAAAAGCACGTTTGGTGCAGCCATCCCTGCCTGCCAGATGAGGGGAGGGAACCCTCTCACAGCTCCCTGCTCTTCTGTATTCCCACCCTGTCTGGCACTGGCTTTCCTCAGCCCAGAGGACATGACATATTCCCAACCTCCTTCCACAACCCAGTGGGGCCAGTGGGACTTTGCTGTGTTTAACAGTTGCTTGATAGCAGTGGATCTATGGTGGAATAGTCTAACCAGAGCTAAACACAGTAATGTGCCACACTGCTCATTTAGTGTGGCAAGCATGTGCCATGAAAACACTGATTAATTCATAATTTAATAATATCTATTTTAAAGTATGTGTAATACATATTAGAAATATTTCTGATAGAGATGCTCTATCATGGGCAACATGCAGAGCAAGCAAGCATTTTGGAGGCAAAGGACCTTCAAGACAGCCAAGCATCCAAGCATTGAGCCAGATCACAAACCCAGCTACTGGTGGTTTGGATCCTCTGAGGTTTTCCTCTGTCATTGATTGTTACCAACAGGAGACAAGGGGACATCGCAAAGTGTCCCCTTTGGTAGCCCTGGTGTGTGTGGCATAGATTGCCACGTGTGAGGACACTGCCACACCCCCCTCTCTGGCATTTAACTCCAGCAGGAGCCACCTGAATCCATCTGCTCTGAGAGAGAGATGACATTTCCATGGAACCAAATAAACCCAGGAATGGCAGATGGTGTGTGCGTGTGCAGGGAGGGAGGCGGGGAAAGGAGAGCATGGGTTAAAAAAAGGACCTGCCCCAAATACAGCCTGAACTACAATGAAATGGGGAAAGAGAACAGGGAAAAAAAGCAAATTTTGACAAAGGCATGGGGAGAACACTAAGAGTAATCAGTTTGATTAGGGTGCAGCTCTCTGCATCCAGAAAGCAAAAAGGGAATCAGCCAGGGGAAGTGGAGTGCCCAGGGATCATGCACTTGGTGCCTCACATCCCTGAGAGCAAATGTGCGTGGCTGGTGCTCTCCCAAAGATCTCCAGCAGCAAAGCCTTCAGCAGGACACATCACAGCTGGTCAGCAGTGCCCAGATGAGCGGGAAGCTGACCTCAGACTCATGGCCCTCCTCTGCTTCTGTTTTCAAACACCCACCCATGGTCCGTCCTCACGTCCAGGCTACACCCCAAACCACTGACAAAGAGCCCAGTGGTTATGTTGAGGATTTTTGGAGTGTGTTACATAAGCACAGCAAATCCATCAGTGTCTTGGAGATCACCATAGAAACAGGCTGGCAGCTCGGTGCAGGAGCAAGAATCCCTGATGTCAGCCTGGAGAAGATACTGATGTGCCTGCCCCAACACACAGAGATCCCTCCCTCCCTCTCTTCCTGGACTCCTGGGGCCCATTCCCTCTTCCCTTCTGGCCACAGGAGTGCAGGGAGGGTTTGCCACTCCCTGGAGTGACACAGAAGACATCAAACCATTTTCTACCAAAGCAAATGAGACATCAAGGCTCTATTTCAAATAAAAGATAAAAAATGGAAATAGCTACCTGGATATTTCTGTCTGAAAAAGCTGTGCTCCAACTCTCTGAAGGACACTCAGAGCATGTGAATGTGCAGTGGTTGCTGCCATCACCCCACTTTTGGTGCTGCCTCATTCCTCCTTCAATGACCTTGGCCATGAGAATGTTTCCTTCTGCCACGGCTTTAGTGGGAGAAATTTAGGAGAAATCAGAACATAAGGAGATGACTTTCAGTGTTTTTATGATAATTGATTACTAGAAAACAAGAACTCTAATTCTGGCTTAATTAAGCTGCACAGTGTCCAGTTTTCTCCAGTACAAACAGAGAAATCCCACAAGCCATGAGGCCTGAGGCCAGAATTGCTCTGCTGGAGGGGAAAAATGGGTTAAAGAAAGACTTAAGCGTTATTTGATGGGACATGCGCTCACTAGGCTCCTCCTGCAGCTCCCCCATTTCTCTGATTTTGGGGTTAAACTAGAGAATTTTCCATGGGCTTCATTCCTTTCTGAAGTGTCTTCCTAGACAAGTGCCCACTTCTCAGTGGACCTCACATCATGTGAAGTAGGAATTACATGTGTTTCCACAAAGTTCTTCAAATGAATGTGCAACAAATGGATTGACTGAATTAATAATTCATAAATGCTAATTGTACTTGAATGGAAAAGTGTTCAACCATTACCCTGTTCATTGACCTGAAAATATATCCCTCAGTTTAAAGTATTTCTCTAAATTTTGGTCTGATGACAGCAAATCTTTTAATCACTCTCTTGTAATTTTGTGACTTCAATTTAAAACCATTACAATCCTATAAAAAGAATTGACATTTAGTCAAACAAAATGATGAATTTCTTTGCACTGCTGTAAGCGCTCAGATGCTTACTTTATCTCAAGCTTAAAAAGTTAGCCAAAGCTTGCCCTGAACTGAATTAATTTGAAATATACATTTACTCAGTAATTATGGCACAGTAAAATTTAAACTCCAAGGAAATATTTTAACGGGTTGTACTGAAAACTAAACTGCTTCATTTTGTTTCATGTTATTTTCCATATTTCCATGTGCAGCCACAAGATCAGTTGAGTTCTATTTCCCATTGCTCTCCTTGAAATATTTATTCTCTGTATGTTCAGTTTTGTAGTCGCAAATTAAAGGACAATTTAGGATAGCTATTAATCCACAATGTTATCTAGAATAAAGGTCGACAGAATCCTTTGCCTTTTTTTCCCCACATGTTTCTGTTATATCCTATGATTATTCCTCTTGGCTGTCAGGAAAAACTCCTTCTCCAGAGGATTGTCCATCACTGGAACAGGCTGCAGTGGAGATTTTAAAGACTTGTACAGGTGGCACTTGGGTACCTGATTTTGTGGGGGCTTTGGCAGTGCAGGAGGAGCTGGATTTGTCCTTCCCAACCTCATGGACTCTGTAATTCCCTGCTTATTGGGAATATTCCCCAACTATTCCCACTCAATGCTATCATGCAAATACAGCAGTATTATTTATTTACGCATTTTGCTATGTTTGAATTTTTTTAGTGAATTAAATTTGCTCAGGGCAGCATACAGAGACCTAGGGGTCAAACAGCAAGTTTTTGTGGAAATGTTTCCTTCTGCCATGACTTCAGTGGGAGAAATTTAGGAAAAATCACAACATAAGGAGATGACTTTCAGTATTTTTATGACAATTGATTACTAAAAAACAAGAACTCTAATTCTGGCTTAATCAAGCTGCAGTGTCCAGTTTTCCCCTGTACAAACACTTATTTTTTCCCTTGATCACCCATAAGTGTCAGTGGTGGTTCACCATCCTTTGTTCAGTGGAATATTTACTCTGTTAGCACCTGGGATTTTGGGGAGAGAGGCTGGGTTCACCTCTGTGTTTGGGATTACTCTTGATGTGTGATCCAGAGTCAGTGTGAAGTTTTCTAATGAATTCACTGCTCTTTATTCCCAGCTGCTATGGAAATAGGAAGCAAGGTGAAGTAGAGAAAAATCATCTCCCCCTATGAACTGAAAGAAATGTTCCTCAAAAACCAATTTGTACTTTTGTACCAAGATTGGTATAAAAGCCAATCTGCTCCAATTAGGAAAACAGCAACAGCAAAGTCCAACTAGCACATAAATCCTACAGGAGCAAAAGTCCATCCTCCACAAACACATTCAGAAAGATGGTTTTTGCTCTTTGCCCTTAGATATTTGTAAAGTTAAACAAAATACAGCAGCCCCATGAATATGACACTGTCTCAGTCATTGTTTCCTCACAGCTCAAGGAATAACTGCATTTTGGACAGGACAAAACACTTGGAACCACATGACTCATCTGGAGGTTCTCTTAGAAACAAACTCCTTTTTGGGGGATGGAGATGTAAAAAAAGTGACAACAGGATAAAAGTGGGGAGCTGTTGCAATAATTCAGGGGTAACAACAATTTGTGGGGTTTTTTTTCCTTCTTTCTGTAGAGAAAACTTATTTGTTGATACTTCTGGCAAGCACCTTATCTTCAATTCATTTTACTCCATCCTGCATCCAGCTATGCTCAATTTGATCCCCTCTACACAGACATGACTGTGCCTATCAGTGCTGGGCACAAAAACCCCACCAGTCTTAGCCAACAACCAGCAGCCACACTCAGCTGTGATGTTCAGCTCTCCCCCCTGACTGGCTTCCAGCTTCACAGGTTGGTTGTGTGTGCCCTAATGAAATATTCCTTCCATTTCACTTTCTTTGCCTGCCATCAATTCCACTGAATTATGACAGATTCCTGGAATCCAGGCTGGGCTTTTTTCTTTGTTTCTTCTCATTTAAGATAGATCTTGCAAAGGAGTGATCCAAAACCATGGCATTAGCCTTGCTGTCCTCTGCATCTTTGCAGAATTATTTCTATGGTTTTTTTTTTTTTGTGTGAAATAATTCACGTTCCAAACAAAGGCTCATGACTGTCACTGACAATAAAATCTTAACTTTCTCTGCATTGCTTTCCATTCCCTAATGAGCTGAAGATGTAATTTTTGCTTTTTTCCTACTGTTGATGTGATCTGGAGAGATTTTCACTTTGCTGGCTTTACCAGCAACAACGAGAATTTCTTTTTCTCAGAGGAAGGGGAAAGTTTAAAGCTCAGCAGCATGAGAGGTTTGTATTGTTGTTGCAAGCACATATTACCTTCAAATTTATGCAAGCTGAATCTCATATGCCAAGTCTTCAAAATTAATCTAGACTCTCTCACCATCCCCTGTGGTTTGCACAAACTGAGAGGTTTATGGGCCAAACTGTTGAAAAATGCCTCTGGATTTGTTTCCAGCGCTGGCACATGCAAAAAGGGATGTGCAGACACCAATGCTTTTGCTTCAGAGTCAGTGTGCCCACTTGGCTTTGTGTGTGAGAGCTGTGAGGAGCCAGAGCTTCACCCTGACAGGGCTGAGCTTCCCTCAAACCTCCAGCACTCTCCAAAACCAAATGTCCCACCAAGTTCAGGAAGCGACAATGACATTAAAGCAACTTGTGTAGTGCCATTAGCAGGTTGTCATGATTCTGTCTGAAAGAACTCTTTCTGGAGAGCTTTTGTTTCTCAGTGGTAGTGGATGTGTCCCTGCCACTGAAAATGTCAGCACACCACAGCCCTCCACCCTTCACTGATTTATGGAATTACAGGGGCTGGAAAACACCTCTAAGATTCTACACTGCAACCATCAACCAAGTACCACTGTCATGTTCA